TCATTGTATATCGTTGCATGGTTTGCCACACAGAACTACAGAGAATATATGCTGGAAAATGGGGAATTTAGAGACGCAGACTTTTTTGGAGGACTGCAACGAGGACTATAGGGTGTGTCTGTCATTCTGGGTTCTGAATACGCGCATGCCTTGATATACGTATGAATGCAGCTGGAGTGACAAGTAATATGTGCATGCTATGTAATCGCGTGTGTGGATTTAACATGTAATATACTGATGATAGTGAAGTACAGCCACTGGTGTGTTTGCTGACGCGTGACTGTCATGGCTGCCACCTCGCTCTGTGTTTCTGATTAGGAGGCCACTAGGCTCTCTGTGATAAAACACGACGTTAAGTGCGTATTCGCACGGTCTGTCATCTGGCGATCCATACTATGGCCCATGTAGTCGTGTCCTTCGCTGGTGTGCTGATAGGCCACACACAGGTCTTCACGTACAATTGCCTAGTACAACATCACCAGGGCACGCGTCCGCAGACCCGAACGCATAATTGAGTATATTTCAGAGCGACATGTACACGCGCACCTTTGGCGGGTGCTCTAACCATCTACCGTTCCAAGCCTCATCACATACGCATTCATGCACGTGCCTTGTAGTACTCCGGATATTTCGTCAAATCGATGTTCTGAAGTTATGCGGATAGCCACATTAGATAGAGAATATCGAACCATACAGCAGGAGCGTACAAACTATACATCATTCCAATCGCATACAAACAGTCTCTACACATACTGATGCTCTCACTATCGCGGAACTACATCGGATAGCAACACGAGGTCGAGATCGAACCCTATTACAAGAGTCTATGTCCTCTACTCACTGTGTTTTTCAATCGCACACATACAGCCTATACTGGAGATGCTGGTGCACACCCAGGCGTTCGTGCAGTTCATTGTGGAGAGGTCGGAGCGCGACCCCAGGGACTATGAGGTGCTTTTCTTCGACCAGCACATTGCGAGGAAATCAGCGCGGACGGCCAAGTCAAAGTACGGACACTGCCTTTGGCTATAGGATGAAGTAGTGTGTTGTGCATGGGATCGATGTGGTCTCGGTTGTACGTGTGGGCTTGCCATGGATCGAGTGCGTGTTTGACCTGAGTTGGCGCGTGTCAGCTGTACAAGTACCTCCTCAGACAAAGCAAGCATACAATGTGTGCCTAGCGCGTGCGTGTGCGTGTGAACTGAATTGATGAGTTCTACGCGACTTCAGTTCTTATGAGCATAGCAACTTGTGTATTGGCTATGCCATATGGAATCGAGGTTATGTTCTGCCGGTAATATCACAAACCCGGTGCGCGCACATGCATTTCCTGTTGAAGCAAATATACCTGTATCTCTCACTGTGCAGGGCTGTGACAAGGCATATATTCGTAGCTTTTTGATTTAAAGATTGGAAGATGGTTATTGTACATATAGTGGAATGATTTTCACTGTACAGCATAAGGAACAATGGGAAAATTTCACCACGACTCACCACAGCTACTTGGACTCCCATTAACTCCCTGCAGATTATTTAATAACAAGCAGGATACACCATTCCTGGATGATCCAAGCTACCTGATTACACAAACTCATAATGCTGAAGTTTCTCTTCATCGAACACAAGGTATGGCAGCAGACGTGTTTCACAGTGTCTATACACGGATAGAGGCCGCTATATATATATATATATATGTATATATATATATAT